CCGGTCCTGGCCCCACTCTCGGGGGGCTCCCCACCCCTGCCCCGGTCTGGCCCCTCTCCCGGGGGTTCCCCCAGCCCTGTCTCGATCCCGGCCCCCGCCCGCCGGTGGCTCCGCGCTGGCGGCGCCGGGCGGGTGCGGGTGCTGGCGGTGAAGCGGGGGGACGGGACGGTGCCAGCGCGGTGCCACCCGGGGCGAGGCGACCCCCCCTAAGCCCGGACACGGCCGAGGGGCTCCTCTGCGCAGTGCCCGTCCCTGCCGCCGTGCCCCGCTGCGCTCCCCCGTCACCGCCACGCAGGCGGAGCCCGGCGGGCGCGGCTCCCCCGGGATGGGCACCGGTCCCCGTGGATGGGCAGGACTCCCCGGGAACGGGCACGGATCACCGGGCGCCGCCTCATCGCCCCAGCGACGACGCTTTTGATGCACCCGCGGACTTCCCTGGTTGGCGCCCACCGGGCCTCTCCCCGTGCGGACCCCGCGGATACACCCCCGACACCCCACGGATGCAGCACCCAGCACAGCACCCTATGGATACCCCCTATGGATGCAGCCCCTAGCACCCCATGGGTGCAGCACCCACGGATACACCCCATGGATACGGTCCTGGCACCCCACGGAGCAGCCCCCGCCCCCACCTCAGGCTGCACTCTATGGACACACCCCGGGGGTCCCTGCGCGGCGCGGGGGGGTCCCCAGCCCCACGGCACAGGTGGGGGTCACACCAACAGCCTTTATTGGGAGCGGGTACAGAGCAGCGGCGCCCCGGTCCCACCGAGCCTCCCCCGTGTCCCCCCCGGGCCGGGGTCCCGCGGTCACTTCCCCGCGGCGGGGGCGGGTTTGTCGAAGAGCGCCGCGATGTCCAGCATGGCCTGACGGATGTTCCGGCCGAAACGCTGCGAGTCCTGCGGGCGGCACCGCTCAGCCCCCGACCCGGACCCCCCACCCTGCCCCGGGGGCACCCCGGGCGTGCAGGTCCTGCACAGGCAGCACCCCGCAGCCCCCGGACCCCCGCGTGGGGTACCGCACGCCCAGGGGGGGACCCGGCCCCCCCCCCCTGCCCTGGGGGCACCCCCTGCACCCTGAGACCCTCTGCAAGTCCTGCACAAACTCAAGAGGGACCTTGCACCCCCAGAGTGGAACCTGGACCTCCCCGAGCAGGATCTGAACCTCCTTCCCCACCCTGGGGCAACCCTGCTCTGTGGGACCCCCAGCAGGTCCTGCACCCGTGTGGGGTGGGGGTCCCACAGGAGGGGAACTGGAATGGGGTGAGGGTCCCACAGAAGGGGTGCCAGGATGCAGCAGGGTCAAGGCCAGTGTCAGGGGCTGCCCCACACCCACAGGTGGCCCCACAGTCCCCCAACCCCCCCCTCCCTCACCGTCTCGGGGCTGGAGAACTTGCTGGATATGTGGAAGGTGATGAGGTTCTCCCCGGCGATGATGTAGGAGACCCCGTAACCATCGTCTGCCACCTGCGGAGGGGGGTGGTGAGGGGCCGTGGGGCACCTGGGGGCACCTGGTATTCACCTGGGGCACCCACCTGGGCTGTGGGGCGCCCACCTGGGGCATTGGTGTGGGGCTGGGGGCACTGGCACGGGGCACTTACCCGGTACTGGGAGCACTTGACGTGGGGCATCCACCTGTCCCAGAGCCGAGGGGGGGATGTACCACAGCCCCCCACAGCCACCCTCGTGCCCACACCCCCCGCGCCGCTCTGCCCCCGAGCCCCCTGTGTCCCCCCGAGCCCCCCGAGCCCCCCGAGCTCCCCCGAGCCCCCCCCGGTGCTCACGGGGCCGAAGCCGCCGCCGCTGGACACGTGGTCGGGGTGTTTGTCAAAGTCGAACATCTTGAGCTGCTGCTGCGGGGTCTGGCTGGTGGAGAGACGCCACGGCTCCGACAGCACCTGCGGGGCCGATCGCTGCACCCCCGGAGCTCCAGGGCACCTCGAAGCGCCCCACCGTGTCCCGCTGCACCCCACTGTGCCCCGGGGCACCCCACCATGTCCCGCCGCACCCCCTAAGCTCCAGGGCACCCCGGGGCACCCCACCGTGTCCCACTGCACCCCACTGTGCCCCGGGGGCACCCCACCGTGTCCCGCTGCACCCCCTGCGTGCCAGGGCACCCCGGGGCACCCCACCATGTCCCGCTGCACCCCACTGTCCTCCGGGGCACCCCAGCACACCCCACCATGTCCCGCTGCACCCCCTAAGCTCCAGGGCACCCCACCGTGTCCCGCTGCACTCCACTATCCTCCGGGGTACCCCAGGGCACCCCAGCGCACCCCACTGTACCTCGGTGACTGTACCCCAGGGTCCCGGGCGGGGGCACCCCCAGAGCGGGACACTACATACAGTGACACGTAAGGGTGGGGGGCGGTTCCCCCCCTCTGCCCTCCCGTGTCCCCCCCTGTGCTCCCCCCGTGCCCCCCACGTGCTGTTCCTCCCGTGCCCTCCCCGTGCACCCGCCGTGTCCTCCGTCCCCCCGCACGCTCCTCGTCCCCCTGTGTGGCGTGTCCTGCTCCCTCCGTGCCCCCTCAGTGTCCCACGCTCGCCCCCCTCGTGCCCTGTGCCCCCCCCCCCCCCGTGCCTCCGCGTGCTGTCCCCCACCCCGTGTCCCCGTCGTGTCCCCTGTCCCCCCGTGACACCCCTTGCCCCCCTGCCCCCCCGCCGTGTCCCGTAACCCCCCCTGTGCCCCCCTCCCCCGACCTTGGCCAGGAAGGGGCTCTGGGTGCCCAGGTACCGCGACATCAGGTAGAGGCAGAAGAGGTGCCGGTCGATGCCGGCGCCGGTCATGGCCAGGCGATAAAGCTGCTGGTGCTTCTCGGCCGCCACCTTGAACAGCTTCTGCCGCTCCGAGCGCTGCGGGGGGGGACAGAACGCGACCTGACACCCCGACCTGCACCCCGACCTGACACCCCGACCTGCACCCCAACTCACACCCCAACCCGCACCCCAGGGCTCCCGTCCTGCCCAGGGAGGGAGATGGTGCCGAGAGGGACAAGGACCTCCCCAGGGAGAGGGGAATCCCTGAGGGGTGGGAGCTCCACGGGGACAGGGGCGTCCCTACAGGGCAGGACCCTTCCCAGGGACAGGGACCCCCTTAGGGACAGGGAGATCCAGAGGGAACA